AAAAGTCTTACCAAATTAAATTGTAACATACTCAATTAACTTTAGTAAACATTATGTTACATTGATATGACACATAATCTTCAAAATAAAAAATTAGTTATTGACTTGCTAATATAAGCAATATCAATGTGCCCCACATGTCAACCAATTTAATCGTTTTGGTAACAAATTTGATATGATTTTGATAACAAATCACAAATTTTTGTAACAAATTTGATCTTATTTTGATAATACACCTCAAATTTGTTAACAAATTTGATCTGATTTTGATAATAAATCTCAAATTTTGATAACAAACCTTTTAAAATATCAATTTTCTCTGTAACACACTTTATAATTATTTACACACAATATATTACCGGTTTTTGGGATTTTTATTGGTAACAAATTTCACAATTTTTTTCGGTTGTTTTGAATTAAATATTACAGAAAAAATCTCGATATTTGTTAAATGATACATATCAAAATAAAAATTTATATATATATTAAAAGCCAACCTATTTACCAAAAACAGTAGCAAGAAAAGTCAACACACATTTAATGCATACTTTATTTGAATTTTTTTTACTATATGCATTAAATGCTTGCATATTTACATTTACTATCCAAATATGATCTTAAAGATTTTTTCCTTAAATAATTTATGCAATGATTTTATTGATATCCATTATAATTAATATTTGGCGAGTAATATTTTTTAACCTTTATTTAATTATATAACACTAATATTTTTTATAAAAAATTTTATTTATTATTTAAAAGATAATGATCACATCATTAAATGATTTTATTGATGGTTAGATAATAAAATTATAGTTATTCTTTAAAATTTCGACATGTTATTTATTTGTATATTATTGTCAACTATGATAGTGTTTTTATCACTTTTTTTGTTATGTTTCAAAAATGAACTTATTGTAAAATATTTTTCTATTGCATAGTATATCAAATAAACTATAAAACATTAGGATTAAAATTAGAAAAATCTCTTGATTATGTAAGAGATTTATTTTTTGGCAATTACTAAATCATTTTTTTTTAAATAATTATTATGAGAAAATTGAATTCTAAAAAAAATGTGTGTGTATTTTGTAAATATTTATACTCAAAATTTTATTTTGAATTTCATTACATAAAGAAGACTACCTCTATAACTTTTATAAATAATAATAATTAAATTATATGACTGTAAATTTTATAATAAAATAATAATTGAGTATTATATGGTGAACAATAATTAATAATATTTTTATTTTTTCCTATGTGAATGAATAAATATGTATTCTAATATCAAATAAATATTAGTATGACGTGTTAGCGGAATTATATATTAATTAACATGTTAATTTTTTGGCTTAAATAAATGCCACTTATTAAAAGATGTGAAATATAGATGATCCAAGCCTATTATTTTTTTGTCTAGACGTACAAGTCCTATAGAAATAATTGATTTATTATGTGTATCACGTGCATCGCACGGGGTATGCACAAATAAATGACCTTAAAATTGTGCACTCGTGCATCACCCGTGTTCACATTTTGGCCTATTACAGGTCACGTACTATATATATCCCGTACATTTTATTTATTCATTTATATAATCATAAGAATGGATAAATGACCTTAAAATTATGCACCCCGTGCATCGCACGGGCTCTGTACTAGTATATATAATATATCAAATTAATCATCTTATGATGATCTTCGATTTGACATCCATATTGTATATATGAAATAAATAAATTATATTTATCTTTATAATAATAAAAAATAATAATATTTATTAAAATTCATTAGAAAAATAAAATTGTTTCTCAATTGATATATTTATGTTTAATGTAGTTATATGTTGTAAGTTAAAAAATTATTATAATATAACACAAGTAAGTCGCACAAACAAAAAAGTGTCATACTAATTATCGCCCCTATATATAATTCGAATGCGCTGAGCTTACGTGGCGGCTTCTGGTGCTTTGGAATCCTACTTGGCGAAGAATCATGCTTCGTAATTAGGTTCGAACAAATAAATTAATATATTAATAATTAATATCTAGGTTCAGACATTCTATAAATATTATTTAGTTAACTTAGGTATTTTAATATCACTTGTACTAATATAACCCTTTAACTCCTTATAATTTTACATATTGATACACTAAGTGACTAATATATCTCTGACTTTTGATTTGTTTCCTTCAATTAGCTATTGAATTATAATGTATTTTAAAAGATAATAACTTTTGTATTTCTTATCGGTTTTACATATATAATATATCAAATTAATCATCTTTTCATGATCTTCGATTTGACATCCATATTGTATATATAAAATAAATAAATAATATTTACCTTTATAATAATAAAAAATAATATTAGAAAAATAAAATTATTTCTCAGTTGATATATTTTTGTTTAATGTAGTTATATGTTGTAAGTTAAAAAAATTATTATAATACAACACAAGTAAGTCACACAAATAAAAAGTGTTATACTAAATATATAATAATATATATTTTTATAAAAGTTATTTAAATTTTCAACTACTTTTTTCTCAATAATTTTATATTTTAAGGAAAAAATTAGCAAGCACCCGTGTAATACACGAGCGTTGTACTAGTATAATAATATATATATTTTTTATAAAAGGTATTTAAATTTTTAATAACTTTTTTTCATTAATTTTAAATTTTAAAAAAAAAATAGCAAGCACCCGTGTAATACACGAGCGTTATAGTAGTGTCATCAGGGAAGGACATGCAGCTATTTATAACCGATCACTTGAGTGAAGGGAAACTAAACCAATCAGGACGTGACATGTGTCATGTGCATTAGAAACAAACAAAAAATCGACAGAAATTAACTAATAACAACACTCTTACAAATTGACATATCTCATTTTTTTAATTTATTTTTGACAATTAAATTGAAATCATCCCAACTTTAAAAAAAAAAAGTAATACCAAAACACTACTAATAACTATCAACTATCTCCTAAGTACTAATAACACCATTAAATTAAGAGTTAATCTGAAAGTTTATAACACCAAATCTGTTACAAAGTAAAAAGACAAAAAATGAAGAAAATTAAGGAAAATATGAAACTCTTGCTCGGTTTTCTTGCTATTGTTTATTTCAGTTTTATTTTTATTTATTTTTTTAAATATTATGCAAATGTTTGCTTATTATTTTATGCGAGTAAGCACCAATCTTGTCTTTTTTAACTCTCAATTTAATCGTGTTATGAGTTTTGTTAATTCTAGGACTTAATTTGATAATTTTATAATATTTAAGTCCTGAATTGAGAAAAAAAAACTTTTCAAGTCCCAATTTGATAGTTTACCCATCTTTCAGGTGTTTCTTTGAAGAAAAAAAAAAAAAAAAAAAAAAAAAAAAAAAAAAAAAACTCTTTAAAACAAATCTTCATTTTTTAACACACAAAACGACAAAGAAAAAAAAAAAGAAAAAGAAAAAGTCGAAAACGGAGATTTTCTTTTGGCTATCATTAAAGCTATCGCGTCCTCCAGCTGCCGCGTCTCATATAATATAATTAACACAATGACAACTACACAAGTCGTAAAGAAGAGGAAATTTCGTGATAATTCTCCTTTTTTCCCACTTAATTACAATTTCATTTTTTTTTTAATATCCTCTTGCTTTTGTACTTCCTTTTTCGATTTTCTTGTGCAGTTCCTTTTTTTTTATTATAATTAAGTACAATTAATTAAGTTAATCATAATTGCTATAGTATCCCCTATATATTAATACATAATGCGCTGAGCTTACGTGGTTGTTTCTGGTGCTTCGGAATTCTATGTCGCAAGTTACATGCTTCGTTATTAGGCTTAGGTAAATTTTAATTGAATTCCAAATCAAAAATAATTAGGTTCGGATTACCATAAATATGTTGATTATTTATGGTCATGTTACATGCATTATTTGTATTTTAATATCATTCTTTATTATAACTATTGAATTGTATATATATTTTAAAAGTTAATAACTTTTGTATTTTTTATCAGTTTTGCATATGTCATATATCAAATTAATCTTCTTTTAATAAACTTCGATTTAACATCCATATTGTATGTATACAAAAATAATTTATATTTATTTTTATAACAATGATAAAATTATTTTTAATATTAATTAGAAAAATAAAATTATTTATCAACTAATATATTTATATTTCAAGTAGTTATATGATATAAGTTATAAAAGCTAATATAATATAACACATGTAAGTCATAAGCAACACATATCATTCTAAAATATATAGTAATATATTTTTTTTTTTTTTTGTAAAAAAGTAAACTAAATTTAATATAATTTTCTCATGAATTTTAAAATTTAAGAATAATTTGTAACAAGCACCGTGTAATACACGGATATTGTACTAGTAATTAATGATTGCTTTAAACTCCAAACTCTTATTTCCTGGGATTTAATTAATAGCGACTTTTGATTTCGATGGACGGGAAAAGGCTTGGAAATGACATAACAGCAAATAGCTTAAATTGAAGTTTTAAATTGATACTATCCTTATAATGCTATCTAAGAATCATATTCCTTGAAATTAATTACATTTGTTTTTGAAATATTATAGCAAAAAATGTTAATTAGTTTATCAACATAAAATTAGCATGCAATACATGAATTTAATTTCTGATTTCTTCCTAAATTAATTTGTTTTTACACAATTTAAATAAAATCATATTTACAAAAGTTGAAGAAGTGATTAAAATAATTTTTTTAGAGAACTTGAATAATATTTTTACACAATTTAATTCAACAATAATAGAAAATTTTAACCATAACATAAATCAATTAACAATTAATTCCACACAACCTCCACAGATAATTATAATTTTGAAAACAAGAAAAAATATATTTACATAAAAAAAAAAATCCAAAATGTTATTTCTATATAATTTTTGTTAGATGAACAAAATATATCTCCTAACTCACAAAATCTAAAAAATTTCTCCATTTATGAAATTACATCAAACTTTCACAATCGGAATCGCCAGGTGCGTGGGGTTGCCCTCCCCGGCCATGATCACCACGATCCTCGGTGAATCTTCGCCGGAGGCGGCGGCGGTGGAAGGACGCACCGGCTTTTCTCCGCCGTAATCGGCCGCCGGCGACCGGCGCTTCCGGTAAGAGCATGCCAGCACGACCAGGGCGGCGGCGATGAGAAGCAGCATGAGGCCAAGCCCGGCGAATAGGTACGGCAGCGGCGAGTCCCAGCGCCAGGACGACGCCGTTTTGGCGGCGGCGGAATTAGGGCTTTGCGGCGCCGGCCTCATTTTCTCACCCTCTCGCTCACACACAGTGTGCGTGTTTCTCACTTTCTCTTTCCTGAATTTTGTTTGTTACTTTTGCTTCTCTCTCACCTAGTGTGTGTGTGTGTGTGAAGCGGCGATGCGTGGGTGTGTGAGGGTTTTTAGTGGGGATTTTATAGTCGGGATTTTGGTGGTGTTGAAAAGAATGTGAAAGTACTAATGTACCCATTTGTCGACACTTTACATTTTCGCCGCTTATGCTTTTTTCTATTTTTCTATTTGAGATTTAAAATAATTTATTAGAAAAAAGTAATATCATTAATGGGTTTGGGTCATTGTTTTTAAGGGCATGATTGAATATAAATATTTGGATTTAGTAGAGTTTATTGGATAAAGTGAGTTAATTTTTTTAAAAAAATTAATTGGGTTTGTTTTAAGTAAGATGTTGAGTTTTTATTCAAATACTCCTTATTTATTATAAATGTGGTTTTGACTTTTGTGATTCATCCATTTTGTTATGTATCTGGACATATTAGTGTCTAGATACATAACAAAATGGATGAATCACAAAAGTCAAAACGACATTTATAATGAATAAGAGGTAGTATTATTTAAAATACAATGATTAAAGTTTATTTGATGTAAAAGTAGAAGAGCAGTGATTGAAAGAGCTAGTTAAAATATTTATGTGAGTCGACTAATAGTTAATTATTTGAGTTGATGTGATATGTGAGGATGATTGATTGATACTACCTCCATTTCAAAATAAATGTCGTTTTAACTTTTTTGATTCATCCATTTTGCTATGTATCTAGACATTAATATGTCTAGATACATAGCAAAATAATGTCTAGATACATAGCAAAATGGATGAATCAAAAAAGTCAAAACGACATTTATTTTGAAATGGAGGGAGTATTATTTTATTATATTGATAACATTGAGAAGAGTTTCTTGAGTTAGATTTTGAGTTAAAAAAATTATATGGTCAAGACATAACTGAATATTCTATATCCAATCAGGCTCTAAATGAAGCGAACCACGCGTGAGTTTCGTTCGGTTCGACTTGTATGTATTTTTAGTCGCTCGACAAAAATCTCGAGTCCTAGATGACCAGGTATATATCACGAAATTGCAATATTCGAGCCATATTTAGAACTGCTTAACGTAACAAATCCCAATTCGACACGTTTACACTTCCAACTAATCACACAAAGGTTATATGTTCGAGCTCTCGCATTAGCAAATCACTTTACTTGAGCCATAGTCATCGGTGTTAAACGATACTAATAGTTCGTGAGCTCGACTCCACTCGGGTACAATTTTAGATGCTCGATAAAAGCTCGAGTCTATATGCTCATTTATAACTCTGGTCAAAGGTAGTAAACGGGGCTTAATATGGATTTTTTTTAAAAAAAAAAAAAACATACACTTAACCGTGATGGTAATAATACATATAGGAAAATTCTACAATCCCGTTATGGAACTATTCTATTGAGATTTGTAACCGTCGGATGCACATGCAACAGTAATCTACATGACATCTAACGGTTACAAATTGCAACGAAATAGTTCCGTAACGGGATTGTAGTCTTGCCCTTATATATAATACGGGGGCCTAAATTAAGTGCATTTGTACATGATTGGGTAGAAATAAATTCCACCCGTACGAATATTAGTGAAGTTATAAAATTATCACTAACCCAAGTGAGATTTCACTGTTACTGTTTTTAACTTTGTTGAAATTTTTATTTAGCATATCTTGCACGGCTCTCGTTTCGAATAAAAAGTGAGCTGGTTTTTTACTTTGTTAGGAAGCCCCTAGTATATGACAGAAAAATTTTGATTAAGCGGGTAGACTAATGTTGTGGCGGATTTTCTGGCCTTTTTGGCAGCCCAAGGAGTGGGTAGACTGCACCGGTTTGATAGCCCGCCGGAGGGGGCGGGTTGGTAGTTACGTTACTTCACGACAACGCGGGAGTGTCACAACCCCGTCGAGTCGTGATTAAGCGTTAGCAATATCGCTTCCTTTCTTGAAAAAAAAAATGATTAATTAATTTGAGTGATGCCAAATTGGAGATTAATTGGAGATTTGAAGGGCCATGTTATGATTAATTTCCAAATTTCTTCCTTGTCCTAAAAAATAAATGTAATTTAGATAATATAAATTGAAAAAATAAAAAAAAAAAACAAAATGATCATTTTCAGGTTATGATCCATAATAATTAACTCACCCAACTTATATTATAGCTTCATATACATTTTTTGTATTTTTTTTCATGTACAAATAGCTGATAAGCTCGAATTGTCTATGCTATAACGTAGGCTACGTAGCACTTTAGGAAATTAATTTTCTAATAAATATTTTTTACACATAAGCTCAAACAAATAATCTGATTTTATTAAGTTTGCATGATAGATAATCCGATTAAAATTCTGTTTTGTAAAACACGTGAGTTTTAATTTAAAAAAATCCTAAGTTTTCGCTGCAAATACTATTGCTAGGCTGCTAACAATTTGACAATCATATTTTTTTCATAAATAATACATACTTATATTATGAAGCTAGTAAAATACTCGTATATTACACGAGTGATAGTTAAAGTTTAATTTAAAAATAAAAATAATGAAAAAGAAATTGTTTTAGATTTTGAGTAGTTTTTTTGAAAAACTATATTATTATTTATATTTAAAATGACACCCGTCACTCGTTCATCTTATATTACAAATTTTTTAACTTATATCATAAACTACATTTTAATTTAATTAATTTAAATAATTTTATCTATTTGAAATAATAGTAATAGCTAATTTAATTTTTATTATAAATGTGAATATAAGTGTTTATTTATCTTGTATGTAAAATATAAATGTCATCTAATTAACTCATGGGGAGTTGATTAATTTGATACATTATATAGAAAATTTTATAATAAACTAAAAAATTATTCACTTTTAAAATATATGCATACTTTGTGTTAGTAATTTTTTTTTTTGCTATTTAAAAAAAAAGACTAAGGAAAATAAAAATATTGGGGAACAAATTTATACCCTATAAACCACTTTTAGAATAGAAAATGAAATTAAAACATAATTAATACTCTTAAGAATGAGCATAAATATCCATCTATTTATGCTTATTCCAAGCTTAGTTATTTTGGGATTTAAAGTATATTAAAATCTAGTCAAATCAAATGACAAGATATTAAAATTTTAAATATAGGACCTCGAGGCGTGCTAGTTTGTAATTTAGGCTCAACGCATTCAAAAATTACAAATAGAAAATGTTGTACTTTTGTTTGTATTGTATTTCAGAGTACATCATTTGTGCATGAAAGTGGAACTAGTTGTAGCCTGTGCATTTGCACAGAAAGCATTATGATAAAACATAAAATAATAAAAAAATACAAACAATAGTAAAAATCATAATATAATTATTAAAAAATGTTTTAAGAAAGAAAAATCTAAATATTATTAAATATTTTTTCATATACAACGTCCATGGTTTTGCTATCGTCAGAAATCTCAATCACCACAAATTATTATTTTCAAGCTCCTTTGACTCGTAAAGACGACCCAAAATTTAAAACGGCTTAATTTAGCCCATTAGAATTAAAAGTTTGAACAACAAACGTTAAGATTTTGTTTTTAATCAAATGGCCTAACATGTATGAATGACCCAAACTAAACATTGGCACAATCCTTGTTTTATTATATGGTCATAGTGTGCGTAGAAAAACTAATGGTTGAAATTTTTAATTTATAATTTAAACTCAAATGGCCCAAAATATTGGCCCAGTGTTTTTTTTTAATTGAATGGTCAGAGTGCGTGTGGAACATTCAAAAAACTTGTTAGGGGAGGGGAGGATTTAATGAGAAAACCCTAACCCGAGACAATTACACCGCATAACCATCAGATTGGAGAAGAAAACACGATCATTTCTCCTTATTTCATCATACCGCTTTCGAAATAATAGAAAGTCAGTGAAATATGTCGATACATCTCGATGAATTTGTTAAATTCTCTCTTCTTTTTTTTTTTGTGTTTTCGCTTTCTAACATATAGAAAGTACAATAGGCCAATATATATCGGCACAACTGATTTTTATTTTTATTTTTTAATTTTATTGTTATTTTTTATGTAAATATGCAAATAATATGTTCATTTAGTGTAATTTTTTTTTTTAAAAATTTGTTTTCAAATCATTTTTTAAATTATTTTGTTAGCAAAGAATCTCTTAGCAAAATATTTAGTTTAGTTTGAAAATAATATATGCAACATTTTTAGTCTCAATTTAAAACTTTAACTTATGTTTATTTTTTTGTTATTTTTTGCATGTCTAATTCAATGTTTAAGGAGTGGTCAATTATTTATTATTTGTAATTATTTGTAATGTTTTTGAAATTTTGTATGTGTTGTATTTATTCACTTTTCTTGGCATGATCGAATATTTATTCACTTATAGACCAAAATAAAATAGTATAAAAAAATGAATAATTATTATTTTATTGTCTAAATATTTCATTCAATTAAGTTTATCCCTAATAAAAGTTTTATTGTTAATTGCAAAAAAAATTTCATATTATGGATGAGATTGTAACTACCACATTTAATACACATAGTATTTTTGTCACATTTATTGTGTAACGTTTTTTGGCCAGAATATGAAAATAAGTTTTATTAAATGCTTTAGGCCAGCAATTATATATATATAGATTCTTGGCATGATCGAATATTTATTCATTTATAGACCAAAATAAAATAATATAAAAAAATGAATAATTATTATTTTATTGTCTAAATATTTCATTCAATTAAGTTTATGCCTAATAAAAGTTTTATTGTTAATTGGAAAAAAAAATCATATTTGGATGAGATTGTAACTGCCACATTTAATAACATAGTATTTTGCCACATTTATTGTGTAACGTTTTTTGGCGGGAATATGAAAATAGGTTTTATTAAATATTTTATTAAATGTTTTAGGCCAACAATTATATATATATAGATATTTATTGGAAAAGTATAAATGACGAACCATTAGAACGTCTAACATAAGACTTTGCGAACTTTCACACATGAGCTCAAACAAATAATCTGATTTCATTAAGTTACATGATGAAACCCAACCTTTTTCCTTCTTTATTTTTTCTTTCTATATATTTATTTATTTATTTATTATTATTATTATTATTATTATTATTATTATTATTATTAAACTTTTATTCAACATGCTCGAGACGCCACATTATGATCATCTACCTAATCCATTAACTAGAAGAAAACCAAATTTATTTATTTTAATCCTTTTAACTTGTTTATCTACACAGTTAGGCTAAATAGTAGTAATAACATTACCACTACAAACAACACCCGAGAAAAAGCCACGTTTAAAATATCCTTGCTTAATTAGCATCCATTCCTTTTAATCACTTTTCCAAAGTTAATCACTGAATAACCTTGGGCTTTCATCACTAATCTCAATGTGATTTCTCATCATTTTTCAAAGTGGCCCACTGATAATTAGTCTGATAATTAATTAATTACTACTATTAAGAATAATAAAATTTATTATAAAATAAGGAAACAGGAAAAAATAGTGTCATAATTTTTATCATGTTTGTAAGCATTGCACCAATCAATCAATATATACAATTTCATATGTTTCAAAAAATTTTATGAACAAAAATAATGACATCTAACAGTATATAGGTATGTATTTTTGTTCAAAAGTAAGTGCTTACACATCCTTGCGGCTAAAAGAACAAAAAAACGTGGGATTTCCAACGGCTCCCCATCTCTTCTGTCGGCATGCGGTTCACGATAAGTTTGTTCCCCTATCCACCGGTTGAATGGGAGGCGACTGTCTGCGTCTTCTCTTCACCGATCTGGATTCGGACGGGGACTTCCAATGGAGGCTTCCTCTACATCAGCCTCCCCTTTCAGGACCGCGGGTTGGGGGTGCCTGTGACCATGGCTCTCCTTCGATTTCTCTCTACCAACTTGAAGACTTTTGGACTGCGGATCTAAGCTGAGACTCATCTCCTAGCAAGATCTGACTAGACGCTTGAGTAAGTTCGTTGTTTTTGGTTTTAGGACCTTACATCTGCTGCTCTCTTTTAGTTTTCTTGTTATGGGGATCGACTCGTGTGCAAGTTCGGTTGACCACATCAATACACCCACGAGAAGTAGGGTATGTTTGTTAGTTTCCTTTGTGGATATTGTTCAATCTCCTTCATGTTTTTTTTTTTTT